CTTCTCTGGCCTTTTCACCTCATTTTTCTCTTCTAACCTCCCAGGACAGAGAGACATGCTGATGGGCTCTTCCACAGTGAGCTCAGCAAGATGAATGGCAATGCCTACGTGAGACAGCTAGTCAAAAACCTGGTGGGCCTCAAGGAGAGGTAAGGACTAGCTAAAACCACCCTCCTGGGGCATAGAAGTCTCCAGTGGGAGCTGGAATCTCAGTAATGAGGGGAATGTCCAGCTCCAGAGCCAGCCCGATCCTGTTGTTTTCCAGGAGATGCTCAAGATGAGGGGAGACAGGAGAAGGGGAGGGATAAAGGGCTCCTTGATGGTGGGAAGGGAAAAATTTCTGTGTTGTGATGAGTCCCATGTCACATGGCTGGGAGCAGCAGCTGTTGTACTGTTTTCCCTGACACAGGTCCCAGAGGCACTCGGATGGACTCTTTACCAGTGAATACAGCAAGATGAGAGGAAATGCTCAAGTTCAGAAGTTCATTCAAAATCTCATGGGCCGCAAGCGCAGGTAAGAGCTCTGCTTCCTGGGGAGGCTGCGGGGGGGGGTAGGTCTCAGCTCCTGAGCTGGTTTGGAAAACTTGAAAGAATGACAAGCAGGCTGGGACTGGAGATGCTGTGTGATAGCAGAGATATCCGAGCGGCCTGTCCTGCCTCTCACAGCAGGCAAAGCAGGACACAAACCTCACCGAAGCCATTTCCAGGCATAAACCAACATGATCTATTGCAGATGCTCATCAAGATTGATCTAGAGGACATAAAACTTTTCATCAGATCACAGCCTGGAGTTTTTTGTTTGCGTTTTGATTTAACTTTTTGGAAAAGCTGTTGGTGTTTTACTGACTTCAAATAAAACACCTGAGAAAATATTTGTAGGTAATGGGCTTCGTGGCAGAATGAGGAAGACCTCTGGGTTTCATAGTCCCCACCCATGGCTCTGACTGCCAAACTGGGCAGACTTCAGACATAATCACATGTTTGGCAAATATGGGGCCTTTCATCCAACCAACACACAGGGCCACCAGCTCCCACTGAAGCCACATATATGAGCACATCATCAATTATAACATGTGGAGCACTGTGATAGAACTCACAACTGCAGATGTACTTGCTGCTGGTATGTTATGAAGGGACAACTTTGCCTGGAGAGGTTTCCTTCAAGGGTGGTCCTTTCCTCAAGGCAAATTGTTTCCTTCCCATCTGCTCAGGGTGCTTTGGTATTTTCTGGGGCATGTACCACCAACAAAATCCTGGCAGATGCAGTAGGTTTTTAATTTACAAACACTGGGAAAAGGCATATATCCATGGGCACCAGGACATGCTGGTACTGGGTAATGAGGCAGATTGCAAGTGCATGTTAAAACCTGTCCCTTTGCCAGCCAGAAAGCGTCTGAGCCTGATTTGAAGAGAACACTTCTTTTTCTTCCTGCACAGCTATGGTGACAGTCAGCAGGTTAACAGAGCATGGACCTTGGGGCAGGTCACTGATAGGGGTGAACCTGCCTTCCAGACAGCAGTGCTGCTCTACAGCTGTGGTGGTTGCACTGTGTGGTTGTTGTTTTAAAACTATTATTAATTTTCATTATCTAAACCAGCTCTCCAGGCCCAGTCAACACAGATGTGCAGGGGAGAGAGGAAGGAAACAGCCAGGAGGAAATTTGCTTTATGTGGTTGTATCAGAGTTTTCTCAACAGCAGGTAGGTGGGACACATTTTTCACCTCTATGGCCCTGATCATCAAGTATTGAAGCCAAAAGATGACTTTTAGTAACTTTTAAATGCCCAGTTTTTATCCAAAGCACAGAAGTCTGATGTAATGTAGCAGATCAGAAGGGCTTGGCTGACATCCTCAAAAAGAGAAAGGTTGGAAGATTTATTAAATTGCCTCTATTTTAAAATCTCTTCTGCCTCATTCCCCATCAGTTTGTGAGGCACTGTCTCAGGGACTGTCACTGCAGAATTGCAGCCCTCCCTCACATACTTCTGTGCCTCCTGTTACTGCGCCAGCAGCCACACTCCCAGGGGTAATTTGCAGAGCTAGGAAATCAAATACTTTAATCTAACAGCAAGGTAGCATGTGGTAGTGTGCAATCTCAATTCATTTCCCTGCCTGCCTTCACAGTAATCTCTGTTTCTAGGTGCCAAGCCTACCTAGCACTCAGTCTACCTAATGCAAAGCTGGCATTGAGATTTACAGACAGGAAGTGCCACATAAAAGCCAGTTATTAAAAATAATATCTTTTTCTAATTATAGACCTGTTATCCTGAACTGAAAGAATTGTTCATCCCATTAGGAAACCTCATCTAACAGTTACAATAGAAAGTTTTTGCCACCCTGTTTAGAGTCAGTCATTGATTCAAACTCACACCTCAGGATGGGCTGTCTCAGCATCTGGACATTGTTCTCTTCCTAGCGAACAACCACATTCAATTAGACAGTTCACTATTAAATCACTAAAATTAGGAGGAAAACACTGGCCCTTAGTACCTCTTGTCCACATTGCCTAGAATAAATGGGGATGATAACACCAGCAATGCCTGTGCATTTGTGGGGTGACTGCAGGCAGCCATGGTCCAGGTCCCTCTATCCTACATCTGATCCTTGGAGTCATCTGTGAATGTGAAGATGGCCTTGCCACACTTCCTGCAGTCTGTGTGCCCAGAAATATTGAACTACTGCTCCTTTTTTTCCTCCAAACAGCCACTCAGACAGTGATGCCATGGATGCTGCTGCAATCACCAGCCAGTACATCTGCCCCATCTCCAAGCAGCTGGTTGCATGCATGGAGGACGATACAGGCAGCTTTGACTGAAAGTGAAGGGAAGAAGCAGCCAAGGAGGCAGCTTTGCATGTGTATAGCCTTAAAAATGAACAAGGAAGCTATTGCATTTGCTTAGAAAAAACTTTTGAGATCAGCAAATAGGAAACAAATTCTAGAAAGCAGTCCAAAACAAATAAAATCTCTTAGTTTATCAAGAGTGAAATGTATGTCAGTGTGAGCTGGTGTCAGTAGATGGAGTCTGAATGATGCACTTTGTGTGAGCATCTGGCTGCCTGCTCCTGAAGTCAAATAAAGATTTGTTGGCTGTGCCTATGCCTTGGCTGCTCTTTGGGAAACAGTAACAAGGGTAGTACCACTATCAGGCATTGGACCATTCGGAGTGCATGGGGGCCACGTGACTGGTTAAGGAATGTTTGCCAGGCTTCCATGCTGGGTCTAGCTGGAGACCCTGGCCACATCTTCCCTTAGCAGAAGCTCAGCCAGTTGCTAAATCTTACTGCAAAGAAATGTACTGAGAGCTACACAACATAGATCCAGACTGTAAATGTTGTTTCCACTCAGTTCTGCCCCTGTGCTTATTGGCCCGTCTTTCCCACAGTCACTAAAGACAAAGCTCCACTAGGAGGCATTTCTTTCCACCATGCCATGAGGTTTATATGCTGTCCCTGCACCATGCTGCCTGGCAGATTATCCGTCTTTCCTGTAAAACCAACAGATTTTGAAGAGCAGCTCTAAAATAAGGTATCTTCAGCTGCAATCATGTGTGCCTACCAGAACTGTTCAGTCCATCCTGCACCATCAGTTTGCACCATTTATGGTATACCTGACATCTACAAAGAAGCCAGTCTCTCTCAAATGTTCACCTAAGCACCCATCCCCTTGTTGAGATGCTGAAATGCTGTTCTCACTGACCTTGGCATTCATTTATTTTTGTCCATAGAAAATCTCTGCTAGGAAAGTGACCTCTTGGAGGAATTTTGGAAGGAGAGTTAGCAGTCTGTATTTTGTTAAGCCCCTAAAGGCCATCTGGCTAAAATGCAACACTTCAGTGAGAGCTTTCTGAAATCAGTGAAGATTTTAAAAGGAGCTGTCCCCTTTCTCATCCTGCACAATGGGCAAGGTGAGAATAATGGTGTTTCTTTGCAGAAGTGGCCTTGCCACATGATATTTGGCTTGGAAAAATGTACACAGGCTCAGAAAAAGACAGGAGAAGACAGTAGAAGAGCATACTTTTGAGGCTTCAGGAGTCTGCTGAGATGTAAATAATTGGAACCTGGATGGAGACTCTGGGGAGCACCCTTACAAAGAGCCACTGCTGGCAAGAAAGGTAGAAAAGAACACGCTTTGTTCTTACAAAGCTGCTGGGTAATCACTGAGCTGCAGCTGAGCCCAGTTGCTGTCTCTGGACCCACTCTGCTCACCTTGTGAGGGCTCTGTAGGGTGGCTGGGAATAGCAAGGTTGTCTCGGAAACATCACTGATTTAGCTCAACCCAAGGATTTACACAGGGCCTCACTCCTTCCCTTACCATCCAAACAAAAAGCAGCCAAGATGGTTTTGTCTTCACTGGAACATTTGCCTTTCCAGAAATAAAGATGAAACATTTGAGAGCTGGCTTTTATGGTTGTTGGTTTTTTTAAATCTATTTTTCGGGATCAACATGACAGACTGTAACTAGAAGAGAGAAACCCTAAGCCATGGGCTGGAGAGAAATACCTGTTCTAAAAGGGAATGTGGGCCATGCAAAAAAAAGCCTGGCTAAAGTAAAGAAGATCTAGGTGATATAGTAGCACCTTTTTAAAGGAAATTACTTGATCAAAGCAGACCTTATCTCTGGCACATCAGAAACATAAATTTGCCTATTTCCTCCCCACTGGGGTAGGTTGGAGTATACAAAGAGCTTCCCAAGTGCCAGCCTTGTCCTCCTCCATGCTCATCCCAGGGAGCTTGGTTCTGACTTCTGAAAGTCTTCAATTATATCCCAGTTGCTACAGAGCATTTATGATAGGGAAGAGCTAGAATCAAAGTAGAAACAGGAATTTACACGTCACTGTGTTCTGTGACTGGTAGATATCTTTCAATAAGTCACCCAATGAGGCAAAGGTTGAGCTGCAGCAATTTACTCCAGCCAACAAATATGCTTTGCCTTCACGAAGTAGTGAACATAGAGGACGGCACTGGGAGAAACAGGGAGAGAAGAGGATCAGCAGCTCGCCATGGCTGCTTCTCACTGGCTTCTCACTGCTGTGCTCTTTCTGCTGCCCTTCATGACTCAAGTTTCAGCACAGCAAAAAGGTAAGCTCTTGCAGGAGGTCTATGACCACAGAGGAATAACCCCCATGGCAGCAGGTTGCACCATTATAAGTGGAAGATTTTTACACTCCTACTCCAAGACAGCTTTGTTCAGTGACCTTCTCTGCGAGGGTAACCAGAGGGGTCTCAGGGCAATTCTGTGTCTCATTTGTGTGTTTTTTCAGGATGTTCTGTTGATAATAACAAACCAAGCATTTCTGAAAATAACAAGCCTGGCGAGGTGGTGACCACAATCCATGTGGAACAAGGCTTCACTGTAATGATTGATCCTGCTTCCCCTGATGCCAGTTTTTTCACTATACAGGGGCTTGAACTGCAGCTGAACCAAGTTGTGGATTATGAGGTAAACCTTTAGCTAGCAGGCTGTTAGGAAGAGATGGATAATGCTGGGACACAATGAGTTTCAACCCAGGGTTTTGGACTTCCAGAGATTTGGAACCCATTTCTAAAGGATCTAGGACGTAACTTTGAAAAAGAAACCTCTTTCAGTTTGGCTTGAAAGGTCAGCCCTTCCACAAGCAGCGTATAGGGAGGAGAGGGATGCATCATATGCCTGCTGTCACCTTCCTTCAATTAATCTGTATGAATTAAAGCGAGAGAAAGATTTAAAACCACAAATGTGACAACTGTAGTGTTCAGAGCTCTCCAGGACTCAGGTAAAATGATCCCTGTTTGCCTCTAGAAAACAGCTCTGAGAAGTGAGATGATCTTGTGTGAAGCATAAAGGCAGTATAAAAAGTCAGTGTGTTCAGTAAGGCTGCTGCTAGATTATTTTCCCTTCCTGGAGTGTTCCATATACAGCCACAAGCATCCTTAAGCTGCTTTTCCCCAGTGGAAAACCCTGCATTTATCTGAGTGAAGGACAGCAGGTAGAGTTAACACCCGGCAGGCAACACTGTACTTGCTACATGGAACATTTCTGTTTCATTTAATTTAAAAAGAATTCTCTGTTTGAATTCACCTTAAGTGTAAGAAAGTGGTTGATTACCTCTGCTGATATAGTACAGGGATCACAGGGAGGGAAGCTGGAAGATCAATCTGCTTTGGCTCCATCACAAGAAGATCCCAGTGCTGATGGACAGCTGTAAAAGAAATAAAGGAAAAGTTAGATACGCCTGAACACAAGATAAAGCCCACTAGCATTTCTGATTCAACAATACATGCCTAATTTACTTTAGAAAGAGTTAGTACATTTTGGCCTGTTTCTACAATGGCTGGGTTTTTGTTTTTGTATACAGAAAGACACCTTGCTGCTGGTGTTCCTGATTTGTCAGAACGTTGCTGGGCAGGTGAGTGCTCTTCCAAATACTCAGCCTTGTTACAAGGTCCTACAGGGCAGCACATTCTTTCCTCTGCTCTTCCCAGTCCACAGACAGCGGTGAGGAGATAACCTTTTCCATACACAATCCTCTCACAGGCAATGAGAGAGCATCAAAGGCTCTGCGAATGGGGAGGGGGTACAAACAAACCCACAAAGCCCCCATGCACTGTGGGCTGGCTGCACACCTCAGCCCCATCCAGCCCCCATCCAGCTGTGCTCCTTAAACCACCCCATCTGCTCACTCTGCAATTCAGGACCAGCCCCTGACTGTCTCAGTTTTGTCTTTGACCCTCTTGCTTTACCTTTCCTGCAGAGGGATTCTTTGGAAATTGTTGTGACCATTCTCAATGAGAACGATAACAGCCCAGAGTTTGCAAAACAGAATCTCACCAAAACTGTTCCTGAGGTAAGCCTGGCACATAAGTGAAGAGGGCACTGGGCCACCCAGTGCTGTGGGACTCGGGAAGGGTTAGTTGAGACCAGACTGCAGCCCCTTTCACAGAGACAATAACCACAGTAACTTTGTTTCAGGATACAAAAGTGAACACAACCATTGTAGCCCGTACAGATTTAAGCGCTAGTGATGCTGACCTGGACATCATCTACTATGAACTCACAACAATTGTCATGGTAAAAATCTTTGTTCTTTGGGGAAAAAAATGGTACCTCTGGGGAAAACTTTGTGTGGCATTTAGAAGAGCCCCAACTTTGAGGCTAAGATCGTTGTATTGCATTTAGTTCTCTGACAGCTTCTGGAAGAGGTGCATCTTTTGCAAAACCCAAACATTGGTTTGTTGAGCAGAACAGAGCAATCAATATTGCAGGTATTGAATTATTTTTGCTGCTCACACTTTCATTACACTCTACAGATTAAACTTTCATCTAGGATGTTCTGAGCCATATGATCCAGAGAAGTCTTGTTGGGATGGTCTGTAAACAAATCAGGAGAGACCTTTGTACCTCACAGAGTTCAGAATTGCACTGAGTCGGGTAGGGAAAGGAGTCATGGCCCTGTTTGCCAGAAGGGTCCATGCAGAGTGGAGATGACACAAGCTGCCCAAGATCACGCTAAAAGTCTTTGGCAGAGCCAAAGGCAGCCCCCACTTTCCTCAGGCCCCAGTTTAATGTCTTAGTTTATTTGCTCTTAAGGGGTTTACTTGGTAACATGGGAAACAAATTGTACGCACAGTTCAATTGCTGCCAGCCTAGAGTGCAAGGGCCTGCTAGAAAATAATATTTTAAGTAAAAATTAATTCAGGAGAAAACCAAAATGTATATTTCCATTTTTAAAAACCTTTGTGGGAGCAGGGACCCACCCTGTGTGAGCAGGGAGCATCTGACATGCTGCCTCCATTACTTCCATAACCCTGGGGATTCCAAGGGTTGCGAGCAGAAACCACAAGTTTTTGAATTTCTGCTCTGGGACCAAACTTTGCACTCACATTGGTGTAATTCCAGAGGGATTTAGAAATCCTGGGAAACTCTAGAGAAGCCATAAGGTTAAAGGAGAAGCAAAGCAGGTGTAGGAGATTATGGAGTAAAATGCAACATATGTTACTTCACTTTGGTTTACAGTTGCTTCCAAAGTTCAGCTATGGTAAGCTAAAACAAGTGCTCTTGACAGCTCCCAGAGGCTGAGCCATCTTTCATCTGCTCTGTGCATGGACATGAGACTGCTTGGATGTCATGGACCCAAAATCAGGGATTGTTGGCAACCTGTTGAGTGTAGGAATTAAATGAGGTGAAAGGTTTCATCCAGTACCTGTGAGCAGGATGGCAGGCAAAGCAGGAGATCTTGAAGAAGAAAACTCACATGGGCATGAACAAACCTTTTTGCCAAGACAAGCAACTCCAGGGTGAAATATCAAAGATAGAATAGGTCTGGCATCCTCACACTGCTCCCCTCCCTGGTCCCCAGGTGTAAAGGTCTGATTGAGATGACTGCCCACAAAGTGAGCAGTGTTTTGAACATATCTGTGATTGAGTCTGCTATTAGGGTTTTTCTTTTTCCCGTCTTCCAGGGAACAGATGGTTATTTTGCCATAAAAGGAGTTAATAACCCAGAAATCTATTTACAAAAAACGTTGGACTATGAGAAATTTAAATCTACAACACTGGTCTTGTATGCAAGGGTAAGTTATTGAGGAGGAACAAAATGTCTTGTTTGCCCCCATCACTCTTGACTGCAGGGTAAGTCTCACTGGGAGATCTCTGGGCTGGCAGGAGGGAGGCTGGATACCTGGTGCAGAGAATTTGAACCAACCTTCTACCCTTTGTAATTACACAGTGACAGAGCTGTGTTCAGTCCACCTTTGTCAGCAGAAACAGGCAATTCACTGCTATTGCTAATCCCACATAAACTGCTAAGCCTTAGATAGAATGGAGTTACAAAAGCTAAAAGACCCTGTGACACTGACTTGTGCAGATAGGTTGTTCTTTTGGCAATAAAAGTTGCATCTCAGGAGTGTCCTTTTTCTTTGGGTACAGGACAGGCCTGTGGACAGCACCGACATCACCCACACAGCTACTGCAACAATCAATATTGTTATTGAACAAGCTGACACCAAACCACCCTGGTTTCTGCCCTGCACCTTCATCAACACAGACAAGAGCGTGTGCATCAGCAGCCCCTACGCTGGGAGGGTCAACATGGCTGAGATGTCGGTAAGCAGGCATGATCAAATCATATCCTTGATTCTATTCTCAAGCAATATCCAGATGCCATTCCCAGTGCATAGTGCCTAATCATTTCCATGAGCTTGTGCTGCTCTCCAGTCATAAATGTAGATGATTCAGCATGGCAAAGAGCCTTCGTCGTCCTGGAGACTGGAGTTTCACCATGCCAGGCAGCACTGCTTGTCCTTGCAGCATGTCGCAGGGGAGACAAGAGCTGGAAAACCCCTTGCCCTAGGCTGTCTCACCCCTGCTCTGTCAAAGCCATCTCCCAGCCATAAAGGCCATTCTCCCCAGACAAAACCCCCAGAGCCACGCTGGGTGGGAGAATGCTGCAAGAGCTCATCTGGTGCTGCAGGGTGGTGTGTAATGCTTTGCCTTGTTCTTGCAGACAGAACCACTTGCCCTAGAGCCAGGGCCTCTCTATGCTATTGATCCTGACTACACTTTAAATGAAAAAATCGTGTACAGTATTGTTGGAGGTGAGTAGAAGTTGTCACCTTCCATAAACTGTGTTGCTCATGTCCCCTGTGTTACCCTCCAAGAGGAGATACCCTCAGTGGCACTTGAGAGTTGAGGGCCTGGTGCCCCTCTGTTTCTGCCACAAAAACATAACTAGATCCAATGTTCTGTGACATTGTGGATTAAGTAGAAGAAAGAGACTGCTCAGAGAGGAAGAAAAAGAGAATTACAGTCCCACGAACCAATCTCAATTAAACCTGTTAGAAGGACTTTGGTTTCACTTTTGGTGAGACCTATTTTATCTTCCAGCTTTTAGACTTGATTTTGCCAGTCTGTCACACCACTTCCATTGAGCCTTGAGATGAACCTAAAATCTCCACATCATGAGAATAATTTTCATTCATTGCCAAGAATCCTGTTTTTCTTCTCCAACACATTGCCCTATCTAAACTGCCCTTTTTTAGTCTTGATTTCACAAAGATTAGTTGAATACAGTCAATTGATTGCCCAATCATTGACTGGGTCATTTACTTCATTCAAAGGATTTTTTTTCTCTCTCTCTTTTTTTTTTTGTTTTGTTTTGTTTTCCCCTTTTAAACAATAGTGGGACTTTGAATAACTATCAAGGCAAAGGTAGATCATATTGGTCAGATGTAGTCATTACTTGTTCATCCCCACATGGCACTGTATCTGATAATCCTCCTGATAAGAAATACATTAAAGAATCTTCAATTCCACTGGCATTTTGGATGTAGTGTGGCCTTCCTACCCCCACAGCCAACAGAGAACCTCAGACTGGGGCTGTCCTTGTCTAAATATAGCCCACAGTGTCTCAGAGTGAGGAAGAGAACTAAAAAATTTGCTTATATTTTAACACATATCCAACATAGATATTTTTAAGATTCAAGCACAGATTAGAGATCAGATAAACCATGCACTGAGATGCCATTTTGTCTTCACAATCTAAGTAAGAATGTCAGGTATAGATGCCTTCCCTTTAGATGCCTAGAGCTATTCGAGACAACTCCCCAACCAGCTACTCTTTGTAGATTGGTTTCTTGCCTTTAAAACAGGAATAATCCTCCCTTTATCTCTCCTGAAGTGCAATATGGGTTCTGCTAGGGTTTGGGTTAGAGAACTGGAGTCCTTTCGTCCTAATATTGCACCAGAGCCTCCAGGCATTTGGCACAATTTAAGCTGGCTATAGGCACTAGAAATGCAAAGCTTTGCTGTACTGTCTCATCTAGTTGGGTTCACACACATCTTCTTGGTGCTTTTAGTATGTTGAATCCTTCTGAATGACTGGCCAGCACTCCCAGCCCTTGGAGCAGCCAGGCAGGCAAGCAAAACAGCAATATGCCCTGGGGATATTATGACTAAGATGTGAAAAAATGATCCAGGTCACTTTATGAAGGTATCTGAAGGGGTCTGATGACTGACTAGTCTTTTCATTTTCTTCAGGGGATCCAGACAAAGTTTTCTCAGTGGGTGCAGACACAGGGAATCTAACCATGAACAAAGTAGCAACTGCCCCAGACTCCTACCTATTGCAAGTCATGGTAAGTCTGATGATACTACAGACATCCCCCCAGCAGAGCTGGCTTTCTAGGAAGCAGCAGCCTTGATACGACAGGAGTCAACTACATTAATAATTAAAGCTAATTTGCTTAAACCCCTTCTTTCAGAAGGCCGTAGTATTTGACCAGTATTTGTCTTGTGCCAACTTACATGCAAAGCTCTTGCAGAAGTTAAGAGGCGTTTTTGCTCAGCTGTGTGTTGCAACATCAGAGCAGAGGAACTGAATTGGGACATCCTGCTGATCTTAAAGCCTGGAGGAGCAGGGCTGGAAGGCTTTCTTCGGGCACCACTGGAGCTTGTGTTACAGTAGTTAATGTAATTCAACCCTAGAGACAAGCTCTCCTTTTGGCTACAGCTCCAGAGGAAGGAGGGGGCTGAAAAGCACTCCCTGCATGCCCAGGAAGATGTGGACTCCCAGGTAGTAACTGAACTGACCCAAACCCTCAGGAAGATGAGCAGGCTCTGCCTGCTGGTGATGGAATCTCACTGCTTTGCTATTTGTCCAGACATGGCCCTTATGCAGGGTCATGTCTAGACTTTGGGGCTGGACCAAGACTGTGTGGAGGGCCAACAGCAAAAGCAAGCTAAAACATAAGGACTACAAACCACAGAGACATCTGTGACAGGTCTGCCTGAAAGCTCACTGGAGACAATGGAAAGAACCCCACGGGTTGCAATGGGCTTCAGATCAAGCCTGAGTTTTTCTATCTCATCACTAACAGGAAAAGGCTAACCTCTCTCTCTCTTTCTCTGCAGGCCACCCAGGTCAACAACATACAGAAATATGCCATAGTCAGTGTAGAGATTAAGGTCATAAATAAAAGTGACTATCCACCACACTTTGAGAGTAGGATCTACAACGGGATAGTATCTGTTGGTCTGGCCCCAAGAAGCTTTGTCTTCCGAGCTGGTGATCCTTCCAGCCCCCTGATGATAACAGCAATGGATGATGACTTCCCCGACGTAAGAAACTGCAAATGCACTGCATTCCTTCTCACTGCTTCAGGCTTAAAGCAGGGTCATAAAACATGAGGAAGGGGAAGTGTGGGGAGGCAAATACGTTTTCCTCTAATGTTTTGTATGGTATTTCCCTAGAAATTCCACTTAGATCTGAACCATTTATGATGTGATGTGATATGGAGAAGCTCCTGGACTCTATTCCAAAAGCCAGTTCCACCCAGTTTGATGTAGGTGACCTGATTCACCACAAAACAGTGTGCTGAGTAAAGCCCAGGGTTAGGATATGCTGTGAACAGGTCCAGATCTGAACTAGGACTAAGTAGAGTGTTTCCTTGAATAGTTTGGGGCGATGGGATCTCAGATGCAGGTGTCCTCTCTCTCCCAGGTCAAGGAGAGGTAATTGTGGACTGGCCTGGGAAGAGCAGACAGTCCAAAGACAGCAGACTAGCAAGGACCTGCAGTCCTGGGCTGGAAATAGTTAACATTCTCCCTGTGATAACTCATTTTGAGAGGAGCATTCTTGAACAATGTACTGGAAGGAGGAATGAGGGAGAGATTTACTGACCAGTCATTCCTATCATGCCCTATTAATTAAAGGAAAAATGCTAGCTTTATTGATGCCAAGGCTTCCATAACAAGACTGGGGACCTAGGAGAGGAATAACAGACTAGACACAAAGTAAAAAAAACATGCAGACTTCAGTACAAGGATTGGTCTCCAGGTACATCCCCCTTTGGCACTTTATTACAGCAGAACTGACCAAATTTACAAGATCCCTTGCACAGATCTGTTTTGCTTGGGAAAATACTAAAGATACCAACAAAAGCTGGGTAAGACATGGCATTTTTTTTGTGGCAACTTTCAGGATACACTCTTGAACTCTGAGAAACAGGATGAGCACACAAGTTCAACCTTTCTCATGTGTTCAGTCCAGATGCATTTATTGCACTATATACCTGCTAAGACTTCAGATGTATATAACAAATCCTGCCAAGAGGTTCTCACAGAGATGCACGCAAAGCACAAGTGGTGTGGTTTAATCATTCACTCTTCTGGCCTTTCAGAAAGTCAACCCAAACATTGAGTACTACATAAAGAACAGCACTAATTTCATTGCAACCAAAGATGGACTCATCCTGACAAATGTGGAGCTGCAGTCACCAGGAACAGTAGCCATTGAGGTAGGCCAACTTTCTTCATCATCTTGCCAGGGTTGTGGAAGGAAGGGATAGTTTCTAGTAGAGAGGCACCAAGGGTGGAATTTCATTAGCTAAGGGATATAATAAAGGGACAGTCCTTGCCCCACCCATTTGCAGCATAATTGTATAGAGATGGAGGAAGATGAAGTGATAGCAGATTTACTCCATGTTCTATATCTGGTGCTAGCTGTAAAATCATTTTTTCAGTCCTTTGGTAAATATCATTGGAAACAAGTAAAAAGCCGACTGGAGAGATTTTAGGAGCCCTCCTCCTGCACCCTGGTTCTGATTAACAAAAAAAGGAGGGTGAGCAAGTGGGTAGGAGGTTGATGTGTAGGTATGGGTAGGTTATGATTGCTGGCATATGTCCTGGCTCTAAAGGCTACAGCCCCAAACTCAGAAATCCTTTGGTAAACTCAGTACTTCTTGTGCTCAGGTCAAAGGAAGCAGTTAATAACTTTAGGCTTTCTAAGAAGCTAGATCTTCACTTTGTCTAGATCTAGGAAGTCCCTAAGCTCTCTCTTTCCCATGTTCACATAGGCTATTGGGAAAGATATGGTGAGCCTGCAGAAGGCAAGCACTGTAATCCTGGTGGAGATCACCCCTGCTGCAGGTAGGCTGGGAATCTCTGCTTTCTGCTTTATCTTTTGCACTTCTGTGGGCAAACTGGCAATGACAGGTCACTCACTGAAGTCTGAGGACCTGGCTTGAGGACAGGAATGGCCTCAATAGAGCTGAGATTATCAGATGCCTGGCCAATCTGTAAGATATTTAACCCTCAGCTCTAAGAGGTGGAGTTAAGAAATGTGCATTCATTGGGTTGGAAACAGCTTTACTGAGCATTCAGATATCTAGGTAGAAACTAGAGTAGTTTTTAATACACTTCTGGGAAGTGGTAACTGTACATTGGTCTCTGGTTGCTGAGACACCTGAGCCAGGTCACATGGGTCTCAAGGTGAATCATTCCACCAACTGAGCTAGCCTTCAGAGAGGCATTGTATGCTGCATGTCACAGAAGGAGTTAAGGGTGGTGGTGTTTCACAGCAGCTCTGTGGGCTGTGGCTCCCTAGGAGACATGATTAAGAAGGAAATATTCACTGTCAACCAATGTATTAATGATAAACTGAGGGTGCAATCAAATGCAGAGGGAATACTCAAAGTTCATTGTCATAAACAGGTCGGCAGGAGAACAAAACTCTGTTTCATTAATCATTACACTTTAAAGAGACTAATTTACACTACAAAATGAAGCTGGAAAACTTAAAAATAAAGAATCCCACTGACAACAGCAAGCAACGCTGATTAAGCCTGAGGAAGTTACTGTCTTTCCACTATAATGTTGATCTCCATACAAATACATTTATACCAACTGGTGGCTGGAAGCTGCTCCTGAGAATGCTGGTGTAGAGCAATAAAAGGACGGGGGGGGGCTTGTAATGCTTTTCTATTTGCTATTATGCTTTTTAAATTTCCTATTTTATTATGCTCATCAGGATCAGAGGTGAGATTCTGGCTTAAAGAACATTTGTATTTTCACACAAGTACAAACATACTTCGCTTGTGCATGCTGGTGTAAAAGGGTGAAGTGGGAAAGCACAAGATGTACCCAGCTTTACCCTCTGTAACACCTGTTTGCCCAACAGTCACATAGCTATTACTGTAGTTAAATCATGGGGTGAAAGTCACTGTCTTGTAAATGGGTGCTATTTCCACTTCATGTAACTCATTGGAAGTTATAATGGTCTGTGAGTCACCTTAAACTCTGCTTGTAGGACAGGTCTTCTGTGACATTAAATGTGTCACTGTCACATTCTGCAGCACAGGATGTTTTTTTGCCCTTCAAAAATTGGTTGGAGCTTCCCCCACAATAAAGCACTGTGTAAAAAAAAATCTAGCTGCCATTTTTAGGCTTTATAACACTGGGGTTTTTTTCTTCCAGCTGTAAACTTCCCTGATAAAATATACACTGCTCAGGATATGGGTATCTTGGGTGGTATATTAGCAGCACTGCTATTAATTACCTTAGTCCTCCTTGGAATAATGATCTACAAACAGTATGGAAATCCAGTCAAATACCTGGTAAGGAAAAAGGTAAGTGCATTGTTTGTATTAGAACTTCTTAGAGGTAGAAAGTAGGATCTGAGGAGGTTAAAAAGGATGGATGGGCTGTCCAAATACTACCCATGTTTGTGCCAAGGTAATTAATCACTCCCGAGACCATGTCTGCAAAGGTGCCATTGCTTTGGTGGTGTTTGCTGTTGTTCTTTTTAGCCCCCCTGAGGCTGAGCAGACATGGTAAGGAGAGGACCACAGCTCCATGAAGCATAAAATCTAGGATAAATGTGACATATATCAGAGATAGTCTCTGTAAAACCTGTGTCTGTGGTGTAAACCACTGTTCATCCTTCCTCTATAGTCCCTGGAGAGAAAAGGCTGTTCATAGCCTTATCCTAATGCCTTGTCTTAGACAGTTGTCTGCTCCTGAGCTATTTACCTTTGGCTCTCTCAACCCCCTGGCAGTCTGATTACTTTGAAGCTTAGGGCATAGTTCATCTTACCAGATGTTGGTCTCTGCCTTAGATGGGACTGTGAGGAGCCTGAGCTCCACAGACTACAGTGTGAGTTCAGAGTACACAGCTCAGCTGAGTAACAAGAGTTCTTGACCCTGACTGAGGTAAATCCCACTCCAGAGTAATACCTCAAGAGGATGGGTACAAAGCAGCCTATGCTGCTGGTGCTCAGCGCTCCTGGAAAACATGCCCATAGTTATCTGAAAAAATCCAGGAATGCAGGCAATAAAAAAAATAGTTCTCCTAGAGAACCATACCTTTCCCAGGCTTTAAACAGGTCTAACTGCAAAACAAGCTGAAGCTTTTCTGAGCAGGAGCTCAGTCACTTCAGCCACCCCTTCACCCCACCCTGCTTCTTTTCCTTTCAGTACAATCACAACATGTTTCTCCTTCTGTAGTTTTCCAAAGAAAAGTCTAGGGGTTACCGGAACCAATCCTACCAACAAGATGAACACCCATATGTGAACACCAAAGAGCAAGAAATGTCAGAAAATGGTGATGTCCATTTACACATGGCACGTGCATTAGAGCATTCAGCATTTTCCTTGCCCTCATCCAATGCAGAAGAAATCAACAGCCAACCAAAGGTTTCTGTGGCTTCCACCACCATCTTTGACCAGGAAGAGGAACAGAAAGAAATGGAAGAAGAGGAACAGAAAGAAATAGAAGAAAACAAACAGAAAGCAATAGAAGAAGAGACTGGGCAGGAGAAAGAAGTGAAGTCTATCCTCAAGACAGACAGGCACACGGCCGATGATGGCTACAAAGCTGTGTGGTTTAAGACTGACGTGGATCCAGACGCTGGAGAGAGGGTTGAAATTATTGAGGACAATGCAGCAGATGACGATGATGACAGTGACCCAGATCTGCAGAAGCAGTAGTAGATATGTCATAGATGCAGTGGCAGAAGATGACAATGATATATAATGGAAATGGATCTGCACTCCCCACCCAGAATGGGTGAATCTCAGCTGCTTTGCAGAGTTGAAGCCCATCTTTCTGCTCAGGGGGGAAACTGGAATGCAGGAGGATGAGGTTGCCTGTCCTGCTTGTCTGAATACAGCAATTAAAGCCAGAAGAGACTACAGCTAATTCAACCTTTCAGTGAGACACTGACAATCCTAAGTGAAATACCACTTAGGATTTTGTGGGGGGGAACACAAATCTCGTCTCTCTACCTTCCTGCCTCTTCCCCTTGGAGCCCCTAATGTCACATTCCCCAAACCGGTTGCAGATACAGCAGAGATGTAGCTGAACTGACTTGGAAGCACTTAGCCCGCCTCACAGTAGCAAATTTCCGCAACCCAGTGTTCATCTCCTCTTGGCAGGTAAATAAGCCAGCACTGACTGCCTGGCTGGCTGTTCCCTTTAGGGTGTTAATGTTTGATGCCAGCTGCAGGGTGTCAGCAGGCACACGTCACCCTGACCCTGCAGTTGCTCAGATGACTGTATCCAGGAGCTCACTGCAGGGCTTGGCTCTGCCCTCTGCCATGCCAGACTCTGTCCACAAGCAGCTGGCATGTGACACCATGGTCCTCATCCTGCCAACAGCCAGTCTACACGCTCAGGAGATGCTGTTTTCTCTGTCCTGGTAAGCAAGGACTGATCTCATGTTCTTTACTAAAGGACTTTGTTACTATTTTTTCTATGTCATAAAAGCACTAATTGTGCAATATTTCTTTAGCTGTCTGTCTCATATCTGTCAGGGAAAAGAGCTCCTGCCAGGACCTGCCTACGAAACATCAGGGGTATTTCCAGCTTTCCAAGTTTTTGGCAGCAATGGGTATCATTCCAGGGGTGCTGGATGTGGGGTCAGCATATTGTTTCCCGTTGCTTCCCTGTCCAACAGGGCTCAAGGTTTTTTTAGCATTGCTGCAGAAGGTGGAGGTCAGCATTACCTCCCAGTGCCAGATGTCACCACCATTTCTCTGTTCCTCTCTCGTTTCAAATGCCAACCCCTTTGCATACCACCTTTTTTTCATTCATGAGGAGAGTAACAGGCTCTTCTACTGCTAAAATACTATATTTAAAGCTTCACCTAGAGCTGAGCTGCAGTGTGAGAACAGAGGGGGTTCACTGAGAGCAAGTCAGCTCTGCCATGCTTGGCTCTACTCCAGGCTTGAGCTAGAATGCCTGCTAACATCTGGATTGACTTAATGGGGTGACAGTACCATAGCATGTTGGACCACTCGTCCCTCAGTCCCCCCTCATCTTTCAGCAATATTGTCTTCAGTTATGGTCCTGCCATAAAGCCCAAATTCAGAAAAGCGAGCACAGCATTTCTGAGTGGCATGGGGAGTGAAGTGTTTGATGCTCTGGTCTAGTTGCACACATGCCATCAACCAACCTCTTCCCCCAGCTGGCAACCGAAAGCTGGGCTGATTTCCGCTGGCTGAGAACAGAGCTGTGTGCATTTGCATCTTCTGATCTAACAGCACAAAATTTATGCTGCTCTTGGTTTTCTCATTTTGGGGCAGAGCAGACATGAGCTGTTGAGTGTTTAACTTTCAGTAGAAAGCTCAGCAGTGTCCAAGTACTGCAGAAGATGCAGCAGAAGGAGCTTGGGTCACTAATGTTGATCTCACTTTCTCAGTTTAGCACAACAGCATAGGATTGCAACAAAATAAATCTCATGGCAGACACACAGCACCAAGAAATAATCCCACCTCTTCCCTACAAACCAAGATGCACATTGCTGCCATCATTCCAGATAAGTGCTTGAGAGAGAGAAACCAAAGCATGGCTGCTGGGATCCCCATGTACACCAAAGTACAAATTATTTCCAAGTAGGCTTTTTTCCTCTTGGTCCATACCTTCTGTCTATACATCTCCCTGTCCCAGTGTTGCCAGCGCTCAGTGCAGCTCTCCTTTCTCTGAGGAGTGCTGCCCTTGCTGTGTGGACTTTGGGACCTGTACTTTTGCTGAAGGTGGAGACTGAGATGTAGAAAGCTTTCTTCCTTACTGCAATAAAGCTATTTGCCCAGAAATTGTAAGTGTGGTTTGTCTGTTAAGGGAGGGTGGGGAGTGTGCCCTGTGTTTGCCATGTAAACATGGTTTCTCTAGTAACTCAGGGTTATCTCCAGCAAACATCTCCCCTGGGACTGTGAGGACTCTCCAGTAGTTGCTAATTCCTAGTGCAACATCTTCAGCCACCAGCAAGGGTGAAGGGTAGAGGCCAGCTTGCCCTCCATGCTGATGCTGCTCATAGGAGTATTGCTGATGGGTGGGCAAAGCTGAAGTGTTTCTACTCTGATCCCCTCTGGACATCTGCCTTTCTCACCTCTGGCTAAAGGTCCAGACATGTGCCACTGGTTTGCTGTGCACCAAGAATCAGCATCTGTGATCGTGCAGTAGTGCTAAGTGCCCAGCTGACTGTTTTGGTTAATTTTGGCAATGCAGCACTGTGTCCCAGGTCACTGACTAACATAACCCAGCTTACCTGGAACAAGGGATGATCTCTGTGGAGGCAAAGCAGAATGCTGGGCTCAGCAGCAGCAGTCGTACTAATGCAGCAGTGAGTGCTCCTCATCAGATGGCCAAAGGGACACACTGCACTGTGCTTTCTAACCCGTGGAAAGAGGCTGGAAAGGACAAGAAGAGGTTTAAGACAAAGAGCAAAATGCAGATAGTAGCAATCTGATGTTCACCAGCCCCTTTGCCCCAATTTTCTGCACCTGGGACCAATGCTCACCAGAACTCAATTAGTGGTGCGTCACATGAGTTGTAACTGGCCATTCCTGCCTCACTGCATTTATAAGGAGCTTTGAATTATTTTAAAGCATAATGACCTGAAAAGCAACTGTCTGGCATTGGGAAGGAGAACTGCTGAATGCCAGGTCCTGTTGACCTTGATGAACCAAGAAAAGCATTTCTGAGAGAAATGCTGACACAGACAGATCTGTTTACTAAAAGCAAGGGACAGGGGATAGGTTCAACGCAGTTCTGGTGCAGCTGGATGTGTGCAGCCAGGTAGTGCTGGTCTGGTGTATATAACAGCATAGTGAATTTGGCCTCACCAGCTGTTACCAAAGATGATACTACCTCAGTGATGAAGGGACTCAGGCATGCACACACACAACTCCCTTAGACCAGCAGCCCCCTAAGTGTGCTAGAACAGAAATATCTCATTTCCTGCAGCATTTTGCTAGCCTTGGGATCACCTGAGGCACAACTATCCTCTCACCTTTACATTCAAAGGCTGTTTTCCTGTGGACTATCCTTTCTTAACTCCTCTTTCTACACATCTGGAGAAAAGGAAAAATCCTTTTCTGCTTGTCTAGGAGACTGTTTAATGATTCCTGTGACCAAAAACCAAGCTGGTTTCCAGCAGAAGGCAGTTCTTGTGGGCTGACACAGCATAGCTGCTCCATTCCCCTCACTGCTGTGCCATATATGATCTATTCCAGCCCATTGGCAGTGTTGTCAGCCCATCTTCCCTCTGCTGTTGAATGGTTTGAGCTTCTGAGCACACACATTAGCACACTGATTTATGAGCTCACTCGATTTCCAGTCTGTACTCATCTGCTGGTGCTTCACCTTCACTTCATTGATGTGCTCCTCATGCTGCTAGAATCCAGGGTCCCTCAGTTTGCAATCCATTGGCTTTTGATGCTCTGGCTTCCCTCCACACCTGCCAGGCTCCCCTTGGCAGTTCATTCCTCTGCAACCCCAGCTGCTCAGTCTGACCCCCCACAAGTTTTTATGTTCTTACTCTTGTATCCTGCAAAACTCGTACTGGAAATATCCAGAAGTTTGTGCTTGTTAACTCCAAAGTTAAACAGCAGCACTCAGAAGGGAAAAGGTGTGTTCAAATAGTGCCACCACATGGACAGCAAAGGCATCTGTCTTTTATTCTGCACAACTTGAATGAGAAAGTGAAGGTGTTTATGCCAACTCTTTCCTGCATCCGACCCTTTCTCCAGAGCCTTGTGGTGAACTGGGGTGTCCTGTCAGCAGGTAGATTTCGCTGACCTTCCCTTTCTTGGGATAACAACTCCAAACAAAGGCAGAACGCATTTGCAGAACCTAATTATGACTTTTACTGTAAGTGTTTATATTACAGGGCTGGCTGTTACCCGAGAACAAGGGTGTTGAGATGCCACCAGTGCCATGATTGCATAGATGTGCATTATCAGAAGATCTCACAGTGAGAGGGAAGTGTGGCTGCTGGCCTCTTTATGCCACCTTTGAGGTACTGAAGCCAGGGCTGCCAGAGCTAGGATGATGATGAGAGAGGGGAGCAGTGGGAGACTTGGGGCTGTCTTCCTTTGTCTGCACCTGGATGGGCAGGAGAGACCTAGGGAGAATATTCTTGAGCCATCACTTATGCTGCTGGTTCAGGACCGAAAAGCACAGAAGTGCTTAAACTGAAGTGGTTTTTGATGGCAAGTAAGCATCAAAGTACCTTTAAAAATTAATCCTTTATCTCCAGAGACATTAACATGTTGTCCAAACTTTAACTCTACAGGAAGATTTAAGAAGTCTCTTTCAACCATCCACAATCAAGCTCCAATTTTTATTTCTGTGCCAGCTTAGAATAATACTTTTAATATCTGTCATATAGGTCTATAAAAAGTCAGATCTGGTCTTTGACTTAGGCTGTTAACTGCAAAGCCTTTCTTTATTAATCACTTTGTCTGTTTTAGTGATGTAAAGATCAACAAAGGCAGTCTCTCTGATGGATGCAAACCTCTAAGGAACAAATTACATAGAACTAGGAATCTTCAATGCTTACTCTGGAGTTGAAAACTACACAAAAAAAAGAACTTAAATCTCTAATCAACTTACTGCCTTTTTTTTCTCCACAGGTTCAAACTATTGCCTCATAAACTCACATTAGCTTTTCTTTATAAAAAAGAAGTATTAATTCAAGAATCTGGATTATCTAAATTTGTGTCAGACTTAAAATACACTAACATACTGTATGCCAGGTGGGAATCTAGCTCAGAGAAGCTGTTTTGTTGGGTTTTTTTTCCTAATACAATGCCAGTTCTGAAGTCTTTGAGAAAGCAGGTTGCAGTGTAAGATGTGCAATTATTCTCAGAATTCTTTTCCCTGCACAGCCTGGAATGACACTGTGATTGAAGACAAATGTTAGGCAGGGCACAATTCTAAAGAACTGGGTCCACCACTGGGGCAAACTGGGCTTAACAGGGTGGGAAAACATGCTCACAGGTGTGAGCAAGTCTGCAGGGGGGAGGACAGCAGTTTCAGTGGTAGATTTGGATTTGAGAATCCAAAAGGGAAAGCTGGAAGGTGGCTGAGGTGCCTTGCAGGGGTGGCACAGAGGGAGCTGGTGCTGCTGACATTCCTCAGCTCTGAGCACCCTCCTCTGGAGGGACACACCTGAGAAGCAGCCTTTTTGTTATCACTCTCAGCTTCTAAGGAGGAAAAAAAAAAAGGCAGCATCTCTTCTTGGCTGCCAGGGAAAATTGTAAAGCTGGATATGAGGAGGGAATTAAAAAAAAAATTAAAAAAACCTTCGGGAAGCAGAAAAAACCAACGAAAAAAACCCCAAATTCCCAGGTGTCTGAACGTTCAGTTCCGCCAGCCCATTTAAAAGCGAATAAGCTCACCGAGCTCCCGGGGCCTCCTCAGCCCCCGCCGCGTCCTCGGCCCTCAGGGGAGCGGCTGAGGAGAAGCTACAACCCCCATGATACCGCGCGGCGGGCTCGGGGAGGACCAATCAGGAGCGGCGCGGGGAAGGCGGTGGCCAATGGGGAGGAGGCTGGCGGCGTTTGAATTTCGAAGGGTTCCTCCTCTTCCTCCTCTTCCTCCTCTTCCTCCTCTCCCGCAGCTTCCTCCTCTTCCTCCTCTTCCTCCTCTTCCTCCTCTTCCTCCTCTTCCTCCTCTTCCTCCTCTTCCTCCTCTTCCTCCTCTTCCTCCTCTTCCTCCTCTTCCTCCTCTTCCCTCCGTCCCGGGGACGAACCGCTGCTCTGGAGCCGCCTGAGAAACGGCTTCTCCTCCGGCGCTGCGCTACATCTACCTCTAGGTGAGGAGCCAGAGGGGCCTGACCCGGTCCCGGCGCTGCCCAGGCTCCCGCCGGCCCGAGCTCGCCGCTCGCCGGCCTCGGAGAGGGTGGGCAAGCTCGGGGGGGAGGAAGGGAGCGCTATTATTATCATTATCCGGCTAATATCACCTGCCGGATTCCTGATTGTAAAGCGGCGCTGAGCTCGCGCTCCGTATCGATCCCACGGAGGGGAATTAAACGCCCAGTTCCCTCAAGAATCTGGGGCGTCACACGGTGTGTTCGCGGCTTCCCAGAAGCGTGTGGTGGGTGGGCTGGTGGCGGCCAGATCTGCCCGCTTTCCGGCCAGTATCCTCCCCAGCGAACTGGTTCCTGACTGCTTTCGTTGTTGCGGCAGAGCTTACAGGGCAGGCGGTCATGTCAGAGGACCGCACCGATGCGTGGGAGCTGAGCAAAGAGAACGTGCAGCCCCTCCGGCAGGGCCGGGTCATGGCCAGCTTGCAGGAAGCGCTGTCTCTGCAGGACACCGCCACCCACACTGCTGTTCAGCTCAAAAAACAGTGAGCAATGTTTTGACACCTGCATTCCCCTCACCTTCCTGTCTCCTCGTGAATTTTTCTGTGCCTTACTTACCTCTGCTAATCGCATAGGCATTAAAAAAGAGCATAAGGGAAGTGTAGTAACTGATACCTGTGCTGCTATCCTACTCCAGTTGTGTAGGACTACTTATTGTGGGTGCTGTAGAGCATGCACTACTATTTGTAGCTTTGCAGTTGGATTTGATGGAAAACCACAGAATTGTTACTGTCCTGGGCTCTGCAAGAGGGTTTGTCCAACTGGACTTGTTACATTTGTGAGGTGTCAGGGTTGAGCAGAGCCTTCCAAGAACAAGGAAATGCCTGGGGAGCTCTACAGGATAAAGTTAGAGCCACCACTAAACACAAACTTAGGCTCTTGTCAAACTTAAGCTGCAAGGTGGTTTTCCTTCTTGATACGCTGCTGGAGGGGAAAGTCATCATGTTGTAAGGATGGGACAATGCACAGGAGTTGAAGAATGAGACAAGATCTCTACTGTCAGTGCGGCCACTTAGATGTGTCTTCACTGTCTCTCTGGTGCAGTTCTGTAGTTGTCTGATGATCAGTCTTTTCCATCATTCTCTGTGTGTTACCCAGCCTTTTGTACTTAAATATGGGATGTTTCATGCAAAAACTAACCCACAATATAAGTTTGCTAGTAACTCTTCATAACAGAGCAAGCATTCTGTCAAGGGTGACCATATAATCTTTGATAGAAAACCTTGCACACTCATTTGAAAAGGCGCATATCTGTTCCTTTTTAATAATGATGCATTTTCCAGGACTTTCATAAAACTAACCCACAATATAAGTTTGGTAGTAACTCTTCATAACAGAGCAAGCATTCTGTCAAGGGTGACCATATAACCTTTGATAGAAAACCTTACACACTCATTTGAAAAGGCGCATATCTGTTCCTTTTTAATAATGATGCATTTTCCAGGACTTTCATTTTGAAGAAGAGTGCAAAAGCTTTTTTTTTT